GCTCCGTCTCCAGCTGCTCTCAGTGGTGTCCAGGTGTGAGTTGTTCAGGGGCAGCCACAGCCTTGAGTCTGGCCCAGGTGATTAAACAGCTCAGCTTCTCTCACTGCCTCTGGGTGTCTTGTTTTCCTGACCATAGCCTCTCTACCTAAGCCAGTGTTCTTCCCTTTGGCTCTGGTCTACTGTGTGCCAGGGTTTCTACTTTGCCCCCAGCCTCGAAGCCCTAAAAACACTCTGTGATTCTGAAAGATTCTGGATGCCTCCCTAAGTCTCATATCCCCATGTAATGGCCTCTATTTTGCTGGGTCGACCATTGCCAAAGACCAAAGATGTTCACTGTGGCTCGGGATGATGTCAGCAAGTAGTGTTCATGTTAAAAGGCACTGAGTGGCCCCTTCCCTAGTACAAAACTTGCTTTTTTCCTTTTTTTTTTTTTTTTAAGGTGCTGGGAATGGACCCGGGCCTTGTGCATGTTAGGCAAGTGCTCTACCACTGAGCTACACCCCAACCCCCACAACTTTCTTTGCTCATGATTCTCAACCTTTTTTCAGTAAACTGGGAGCATTGCCACAATGTAGTCTCAACCACTGCTCAGCTGACAGAGGAGAAGTGAGCACATAGTGGGTGATTACTGACCCTGCTTTCTGTCTCCCCAGTAGAATCAAAGGAGCTCACATGGGGATCAAAGAGGGGCAGGTTCCCAACAGAATGATGCTACGTAGGAAGTTATGAGGTACACCCTGAGCACGTAAGGACACAAACACAAACAGGACAATAAATTCTCCATGGAGTGAAACATTAAAAATGGAACAGAGGGCTTGGCAGTTGGAGATTTCGGATCGATTTGACCCCAGATGTTAAAGGTGAGCACTCTTTGGTGCTCAGAAAAAAAACTTTGGTCTTCCATTGTTTTCTTTTTTACAATCATCTTTCCAGAAAAGCTGCCCTATAGCATAATTGGCCAGACTCTTGACTGTCATCAGTCAAGACAAAGACAGTCAGGTGTATGCAGTCCGAGGACTAAACCAGCATAGTCCTAGGATGTGCTCTAGGTGGGAGATCTGCGAGAGCACACAGCCCCCAGGAGAATTACTCCTTTCTCCTAAGATGGGCAGATTCAGTATTCCACAGAACACAAGTGCATAAATATAACTAAAACAGTCTGTCATGGGACTAAATGGAATACTGCATCAGCCCTACACAGACACCTCCTGCACCTCAAGTACAGCTGAAAATCTCCACTGTGACAGAGGGGACAGCCATGCACAGTAGAGTGCTCAGGGAATCTGGGCATTTCTAGCCTGGGGCTTGGGACAAAAGCAATAGTTGGAAATTTTAGGACGATATGTAATATATGGGGGAGAGAAATCAATGGACAAATGATCGCTTTGATGTAAAAATGCAAGTGTAGATAGGGCCTCCAGTTGAAGCAGTCCTGCAGAACAGTCTTTGTGAATAGAAAGGTGAGACAGAAAATGTCTGCACACACCTGGCAGCTAAAGCTACTCCAGGACATGATTCCATAAGGACAGGATGGAAAAAAGGATAAAAATAGGGTTAGGAAGTAAGTCTTGGGCAGAGACACTTTCAGATGGGGGTGGAAGAGGAAAAGCTGCAGGAAAAGATGGTGGAATGGGACAAAAATACATCAGTGCAGCTGCTGTAAATCCATGGGGAAACATGGACAAATAAAAATAGAGTTTTTAGAGATAAACATGTTTGCATTTTTACTGAGCACCACCTACAAGTTGGACTCCACCTGTGCTGTCCAATATGGAAAGCACTGGGCACATGTGGCTACTGGGCACATGAAGTGTGTGGCAAGTCCAAACTGAGTTGGGCTACAACTATAACGAACGGACTGGATTGCAAGGACTTAAGAGGAGAAAAAAGTTTAAATATCTCAATTTTTATACTGAGTATGTGTTGAAATAAGTCAAAAGTATTAAAGTGGATTTCAAACTTTGGTTTTCATATTTTTTATGTTTACTAGAAAATTTTATTTATTCATTTTAGTTATTTTCTTACTATGTTCATGTGGGTCAAACCCAGGGCCTTGTGCATGCTAGACAACTGCTGTCTGCCACTGACTTCACCCCCCAGCCCACTAATTAGTGCATGTGACTCACATATTTCTATCAGAAAACACTGCTCTGAATGGAAATATGCTCAAAATATGAAAGGTAAAAACTATAATGGTAAATAGAAGAAAATGCAGACTATCATGACTTGGGTTTAACAAGGTCATCTTACAGTAAACTTCAAAAGCACAATCTTTAAGACAAAAAATGATTTGCATTAAAAATACAATTTCCGTTCAATGGACACCACAGACAAAGTTAGAAATTAGTGGAATGAAGCCAGGGCCAGAGGCTCACATCTGTAATCCTAGCTACTCAGGAGGCAGAGATCAGGAGGCTCGCAGTTCAAAACCAGCCCAGGGAAATAGTTTGTGAGATCCTATCTCGAGAAACCCTTCACTAAAATAGGGCTGGTGGAGTGGCTCAAGGTGAAGGTCCTGAGTTCAAGCCCCAGAATCACAAAAAAAAATTAGTGGAATGAGAGAAGATAACTTTTTTTGAGAGAAAACATTTGAAATCAACTAGTAATCTCTAGAATATACAAGAAAGTCCCACAAATCAACAAAAAGAGGTTGTAATCTAAAAGGCAAAAGATATAAACAGGAAATTCACAGCAGAGTAAACCCCTCAAAACTTAAGGGGAGCAAGAAGAGATGTTTATAATCATTAGTAAACAGACAAATGCAAATCAAAACAAGAAGGAAATATCACCTTAGACCTATTTAGCTGGCAAAAATTAGGAAAGTGAATAATATCAAACACTGGCAAAGATATAGCAGCAGCAGGGTCCCTGTGTGCTGCAGGTGAGTGGGAAAGAGAAACACTTGCAACACAACATGCCAGTTCCATAATTCAGACAAATGTACATGGGTGGACCTTGCCTAGGTCCAGATCAGAAGAAACCAACTGTGAAAAGACATTTGTGAAAGTCAAGATGATATTACCATAGCATATGGGTGGAGGGTATAGGTCAGTAGTAGAAGCTTACCTAGTGTGCACAAACTCCTGGGTTTGATCCCCACTGCTGCAAGTTAATAATAATAATAATTATTATTATTATTATTAATGGCACTGATGTTTAAAATTAGAAATAGTGAACTACAGGCAAAATGACATGTGTACAGGGGGATGGATGAAATGAGATAGGCAAGATGTTGATAATGTCAAAGCTGGATAAAAATGTCCAGAGGAGGACCTTTATATCTCCGTATGGTGTTTGTGCCTTTTTTTTTTTTTCTTGGTGGTATTGGGTTTGAATTCAGGGCCTTGCACTTGCTAGGCAGGCACTCTACCACTTGAACCACTCTACCAGCCCTTGTTTGTGCCTTTTTGAAAATTTCCACAATGAGAAGTTTTTAAAAGAATGGAAAAAGCAATCATGCATTAAAAAGACAAGTCTTGGGTTGGCAGAGTGGCTCGAGGTCTGCCTAGCAAGCATGAGGCCCTGAGTTCAAAACCCTAGTACCACAAAAAAAAAAAAAAAGAAAAGAAAGAAAGAAAGAAATCTCACTGGGTGGTACATGCCTGTAATCCCAGTACTTGAGAGGCTGAGGCAGGAGGATCACAAATTCAAAGCCACCCTGGGACCCTGTCTCTAAAGAAAAGAAAGAAAAAAAAAAAAAAAAGAAAACTCTGGACGGGACATTAGTTTTGTGGAGACCTCAGAAAAACTGGGGAACTGGAAAGACAGAATCCAAAATACAGTGTATGAAGATGGGCGATAGCAGATTCAGACTCTGAGAAGTCTCTAGGAAGAAAGCCATTTAGGTAACGATAACAGTAAAACTTATTTCAGAAATGGTCAAGAGAATCTCTAGAGGTGTCCGAGAGTAGAAACTGTGAGTGCAGAGAGAAACTGGAAATGCCCAACCGGAGGGAAAGGGAGAGGCAAACAGAATTAGGTGAGGGTCAAGTATGCGTGTCCGTTATTAAAACTGGAAGCGCAGTGACTGACTCTTCCGAAATGACTGGGAAACAAAAAGGATTCCGTGAACAGATCTAAGTAGCTGGGGTGACAGCTTGGGGAATTTGTGCTTTGAGGTATCAGAGACGCTGTTACGCGGCCACCTCTTGAGGCATGATGAATGACAACCACCCTGGCGCCTCTAGGATGAGATAAACTCAATCCCTCAATCTCCATAATCTGCGAGAAACCCATCTAACAGCTTCCCTTTTGCCACCAGGAGGCGCCCTTGGACCGCAGCTGGATTTTGAACGGTAGAGAGCCGGGAACCTCACAGTTGCCTAGACCTCCAGCAGCTTGGTATGGACGTGGAGACCCTGTCCCCCCAAAGCAGGACTCTCTGGGCTTCTGCACCAAGAATTCCTCTGGAGTGCTCACCACGAACCAGGAACGGGGATGGACAATTAGAGCTTAGACTGTAGCGAGAGAGAAAACAGCCCACGTATACTCACGAGCGAACAAAACACGACCTCTTAGACCTAACCCAGTTCTGCCACAGATCATCTTTCTGCTCCTTGGGTCTCAGTTTCCTCACAAATGAATAACACGTTTGCAATGAAAGCATTTTTAAAATTGTTTAAAGAGTCACCAAAAAAATGCCTAGTTTCGCTTAAAAAATGTGGCGCGCCTAGATTTCTGAAACGTTGCATTCAGCTTCCCAAGTCGCTAAGAAAACCCCCAGTTGGCGGAGCCAGTGAGATAGCCCTTTGTCATCGGCCTCCCCTCCCAGCTGGCCCAACCATTGTGATGGTTTAGTGACTTCCCCGGGGTTCCGATTTCACTAAGGCAGTGCTAGAGTCCCGAGCCCTTCAGACGCGCGAGCCGCTAACCCCACCTAGGGCGGTGATTGGCTGGTCAGGACTGGGGGCTGGCTGACCTCTGCTCCGCAGCGCCGTCACCAGCTGGCCCCGCCCCCGTGGTGGACAGGCATTTGTATACGGCCGTGGGATTGGTTGCCTGGCTCCCGCGAGGAGGAGGGGAAAGCGGCAGCGCGCACTCGCGCGTGCGTGAGCTGGCGCGCGAGGAAGGGCCCGGTCGCGCCGAGGCTCGTGCGGCCGTCGCCATTTTGTAGGGTTCTCTCTGACGCGGGAGCCGCCGCCACCGCCACCGCCACCCGGAGGTACGAGAGCGTCCTTTGGGTGTGTGAGGAGCCCAGGGTGGGCCGGCCCGAGCCTCTCGCGGACGGGAATGGCCCAGGTTTTGGGTTTCCCATCTTGCCGTGGAAGGTCTGCGGGAAGACAACGAGAGGAGGCGGGGCCGGCTCTCCGGAGGGGGCGGGGCAGGGGTCGGGCCGAGTCTTTGTTGGGATGATGGAGCTGGAGGTTGGGCTTCTTGGGTGGCGGGCGCTGCGGGAGTGTCCAGGTGTGGGGGAGAAACGGAGTCTTTTTGTTATTTAGAGTATCTTGGAAGGTGATACCGCGCAATGGAAAGGCACACAGATTTCCCTCCAAAACCTTGTTACCAGGGACATTCAGATGCCTCCTGCCTTCCTGGGCTTTTCCCCCCTCGCTTTAAAGCGTGGAAGGGCCAACCCTGTTGCTTAAATGCGCCTCATCTCATGGAGATGTTGGACTGGATTCTGACCCCGACCTGCTGCTTGCGGGTCACACACAGCTTGCACCACTCAAGAGCAAACTGCCCCTCCTCCATCGAGGAAGAATAAGGAAGGTCTCTTGGAGGGTCTTGAAGGTGCCGACAACTTTGCACAATGCTGCAGTGCAATGAAATATCCCACCCCGCACCTGACTTTTGAAATCTTGTCTCTTTCCCAGGCTGTGTCAGGATGGTGAAGCTGTTCATCGGAAACCTGCCCCGGGAGGCCACAGAGCAGGAGATCCGCTCCCTTTTTGAGCAGTATGGGAAGGTGCTGGAATGTGACATCATTAAGAACTACGGCTTCGTGCACATAGAGGACAAGACGGCGGCTGAGGATGCCATACGTAACCTGCACCACTACAAGCTGCACGGAGTGAACATCAACGTGGAAGCCAGCAAGAATAAGAGCAAAGCTTCTACCAAGTTACACGTGGGCAACATCAGTCCCACCTGTACCAACCAAGAGCTTCGGGCCAAGTTTGAGGAGTATGGTCCAGTCATCGAATGTGACATCGTGAAAGATTATGCCTTTGTACACATGGAGCGGGCAGAGGATGCTGTGGAGGCCATCAGGGGCCTTGATAACACAGAGTTTCAAGGTGAACTGCTCTGGGGTGGTGGCAGAGCTCAGTGGGGTGTAGCTCAGGGCAGAGGCACAATTACAAGACCATGGGACTGGCAGGGTGATCTCTCTTAACTGGAAATAATAGATTATGTTTACTGCTCTTAAGCATAATTTACTCTTGGGGAAGCATAGGTTTCCCTGTTTCAGGTTTGTGTGGAATCACAGATTGCGGGTTACTATGTCCTGTGGCCTTAGTTCATTTGAATGCTGTTGGAAGTGTAGTCTGCCTGGGGAAATGAGTATCCCAAGGGAGAAAGCGAAGGTAAAGATCTATGGCTTCCCTGCTCCTTTTGATATGAACAAGAGGCCTTTTGAGAGTTTAAATGCTTAATTCTAAATGTACTCTGCTGCCTTGGGTGATGGGTAATGGTGGGAAGAAGGAAAAGGTATCTGCAGGGAGCCCTATATTATAAATCTGGGTAGTGAGTCTGGGTTTGGGGGAGTCTTTTGGGTTCTCAGATTTTTTTCATGCCATGGACTATTCTGCTCAACCTGCTATTTAGTCCTAAGGGAAAAAAAGGAAATGTCTAGAAATTCAAGGTTGAATGGGAATGATGGCCTTGCTTCTGAGGAAATTGCAGTAAGGGCATCAAGTATATTAGTTGTTTATACTGATAATAAATGTATGTGTATTATTAATGCCACAAGAGGTTGTTCGGACATTCTAGAACTGTGCTAATATGATCGCCACTAGCCACACATGGCTAGTACATTTACATTAATTGAAATTAAAGTTTAAAATTCATTTCTTCATTCCTACTGGGCACATTTCAAGTACTCAGTAGTCATGAGGACAACAGCTACTGTATTAGCATACAGATAGAATATTTCCATCATCATAGAAAGTTTTGTTAATGCTATTCTACAAGGTTTTATTATTGTCATGTTGGACCACACATTCACAGCCACTTGTCTGATTCCTAAGTCAACACTCTTTTTTCCCACTAAAAGAGTTGTCAAGAGTACTTAAAGGTCCTCTGCTAAACCTAGCAAACAGATTGAAAAAAACATGGGGGAAGAGGGAAGGTTGGCCAGAAAAGGGTAAGGAAGTGTGTAAATAATGGAGATTGTTAGAGGAACATCATCAGTGTTCCTGGCCTCAGCTAGGGATTTCTTTCCTGGCTTAAGCAAAAGGCAAAAGTTGGCTTTGCTGTTGTTAACCAGCAAGTGGACAGTGGACAAGTGTTTTAACCTCTCTGTGCTTTTCCCCACTTACAAAATAGAGTTAATGATCCTTGCCTTACCTCCCTCACAGGATGGTAGTGAGACTAGAATGAGGTAATAAATGTGAAAGTGTTTGGGCAGTAAAAGCACTATCTGATGAAAGGTGAGTGCTGTTTGCAACCATGAGTGTTTCCATTCTGGTTATTTAAAATGTGCTTAAACTTTCCTTATTTACTGTTTTAAATTTATATGATTTTTTTTCTTTTTATTATTTGGGAATGCTGGTGTACTTCAGCTTTGAAAGTATTCTTAAATATTTACATTTGATGTGGGAAGATGTTCATGGATGGACAGCGGTGATAAGGAAGAAGGGTTCTCTTTCTCTCTCTCTCTCTCTCTCTCTCTCTCTCTCTCTCTCTCTCTGTCTCTCTCTCTCTCTCTCTCTTTTTTTTTTTTTTTTTCCGTGGTGCGGGGGCCATCTCAGGGCCTTAAAAATGCTGTTAGGCAAGTGCTTTGCCACTGAGCCCTGACACCCCCAACTCTGAGGGAGGCTTTTATCAGGTAACAAGCAAAATGTAAAAGGATGTCAAGTCAGGTGCAAATTGCATATATTTTCTAGTAAGTAATACTGCATGCCCTTACTTTTTTAAATGTACAATTGAATGTAAAGAAAGGGGTGAAAATATGTAAAGAGAAATAGTTAACTGGAGGAGTTGGTTTAAGATGATTGTGTGGGTTTTTTTGCTTTGCTTTTTTTTTTTTTTGGTGCTGGAGATTAAATCAAGAGTTTTGTGCATACTAAGCCCACTTACTACAACTGAACTGTACACCTCCAGACCCAAGGATAGTTTTAATAAAGCAGCTGTAATTAATTTAGGATGTGGATATCTGAATAATGCAATGGATCCATGAGATTTTTTTTAAATATAAGTTCCTTAGAAAGTGCAAATGATAAACTGAATTGGAAAGAAAAATCTTTTATTTGGTTTTCATGTTCTCTGCCTGGCTCCTAGGAGAGAGCAGTCTATCCTAGTTATACTTACAGATTTTTTTTTTTTTTAAGTGGTACTGGGGTTTAAACTCATGGCTTCGTGCTTATAAGGCAGGTGCTCTACTTGCTTGAGCCTTCCCTCCAACACAGATATTTTGTAACTAGCTCTATTTTTTTGACAAGAGAAAATTTAGTGTCAGATAATAAGTTGAGGTGGTTTTTGTCATTTTTTGTTAAGAGAGTCTCTTTCTGTAGTCCAGGCTGGCCTCTTGCTTCAGCCTTCCCAGTGCTGGGATTATATAAGTGTACCACTACACCTAGCTCACATTTTTTTGGGGGTGGTGGGGCGTGGTACTTCAAATGTCACAGGGTTTCACACTAGCAAATCAGGCACTCTACCACTTGAGCCACACCTTCAGTCCATTTTTTTGGTCTGGTTATTTTGGAGATGGGGTTTTACCAACTATTTGACTTGGCTGGCCTCAAACCACATTCCTCCAAATTGCAGCCTCCCAAGTAGCTAGGATTACAGGTATGGCCATGGACTCTTCCAATTTAGAGTCATTTCAGTCACCTACTAATGAAAGTGGCCTGTGTGAAGTGCAACTTTAGGCATCTTTTGAACCTTTTTGTATGTTAATGATGCCATTTAGGCATCTGCATTATATTATAAAAGGAAGCATTAGAGTCTAATGATTCTGGGTTTACCTGGGTCTTTCAAAATCTGTTTCCTCTCCAAAAGCAGCACTGAACACAGTTTCATAGGAAGTCATAAGGAAGCTGTTCCTAAGTAACCATTCAGGCAGCTGAATTGGAGAGAGATGTAGAGGTGTCGTTTTTTAGCATTAAATCAGAGTACTATTAACTACATCTATAGCCTTCTCTGGATCCTCACACATGGTAGGAGCTCAGAAATTAGGACCCCAAGTTTCCCACTTCAGGCATTTTTGTATTCTCTTCTGTTTCCACTTTCAAGAGAAAATATTTTTATTGGGCTGGTTTTCTGGAAAATACTGGAAGATTTCAGTAACTTGGAGATCTCAGAAAATCTTCTAATCTTTTGGCCTGTCCACCTCTAGTAAAATTTAATTGTCTTTCAAATTTTTTTTTGACATGCTTCCTAAAGGTAATAGACATGGTACTTCATAGCAAAGAACTTTAGGGGATTTAAGTTTTAAAAGCTGGTTGTAATCTTTGGAAAGACTATTTGGGGGAAAAAAATAAAACACCTGTCACTTCCAGTACAGATCTTTTTGGTTCTTGGGTTTTTTTGTTTTTTTTTTTTAAACTGGCATCCTTTTTCACAACTACACAGAGGTAGATTTTGCCACAGATGTTTAGTATCTTAAAGAGTTTCCACCCTCTATAAAGAAAAATCAGGAATGGATTTAATATTAGAAACATCAAGGTTGGCTGGTGGAGGGCTCAAGCATTAAGAGCACCTGCCTTTTAAGTGTGAGGCCCCAAATTCAAACCCAGTGCCGCCAAAATAAATAGACTAATAGAAACATCAAGGTAAAATCATTCCATTTTTTTCTCTAAAAATCAGATCCACAATCTATTAAAGTAAAGAACAAATTTAGTTGAATTTTTCCTTTGTAAGTGATTTCTAAGTCTCTGGATTAACTGCTTTTTAGATTGGCATGGTTACTCTGACTTCAGAATAGAGTACAGTTTATATCTGTCATGTAGTTTAATGTCATTGTGCATGTTTGTTTGGAAGCTAAGTAATTTGTAATCCTCTAGTTTAAGTTATAGAAAACACTCTATTTGAGATCTGTGTTTTTGTTCTAAGCATAGGTAGCATTGTAGCCCTTATAACATCCAAGAATTAATTGGGACCATTTAAATCTCTGAAAACAGTGGGTTGTATGACTAAATGCTTCTTTCAGTTAATTATTGCCATTTGGTGTCTTGAGTGTCTCAATGGTGATGATGGATGCACCTACTAGCAGCATAGGTCAGAAGCCTGAGCACCTTTGTTTCTGCTAAAGAGTGGATTTTAAGTTGGAGGCAGCAAGTTCTGGAAACTGACGTGGTAGGAATCTTAAACATTGACCAGAACCGAGTTTGACTAAAGTGATAGAACTACACTAACCTATCCTGGCTGCCATCCTGAGTCCAAACTGTCTCCTACAGGTGGATATGAGACCTCCTGTCATGTAGTTGCATCCAGGGCTAGCAGTATGGCACCTGTCTAGCAGGAGCAAAGCCCTGGATTCAAACACCAGTAGTGACAAAAAAAACCTTCATCCAGAACAAGTTCTGCTATGGAGAGATCAACTTACTGATGGCAGAGGAGGGATTTGTTCTGAGCAGGCCTTAAGAGAGTGATGTGGCCAGGCACCAGTGGCTCATGTCTGTTACTTGGGAGGCTGAGATCAGAAGGATCTCAGTTTGAGGCCAGCCCTGACAAAATAGTTCATGAGACCCCTTCTCCAAAATAACCAGAGAAAACCAGACTGGAGGTGTAGCTCAAGCTGTAGAGTGCCTGCTTTGCAAACATGAAGCCCTGAGTTCAAGCCCCAGTCCCACCCAAACAAAGAGATGCAGGTGATGATGGGTCAGGTGTTGGGTACCCAGCAGAGCCTCTGGTGACACCTGCACAAATGCTAGAGGAAACGAGGGAAAGAAGATACATGTTGGTTGCTTTTTTTTTGTTTTTTTTTTTAAACAGTGCCGAGGACTGAATCCATGCTTGGGCATGCATGAGAAAGATGCCTTATAAATTTGGCATAACTTGAGTTTTTGTTGAATTTTGTTTTGGCAGTATTGGCAAGTGTTGAATTGTTAAATTAATGATGGTCTTAGAAGTAGAAAGTTTTTCACTTTTTATGTTGGGAGGAACTGGGGAGACAGAAGTATATGAGGAGGCCTGGTCTGGATTAACTTGTCTCTGAGGACTCACATTTTCTAGCTGTCAACTGTAATGAAACTTCAACACTTTTAGAAGGATGGCTGAAATACAGTCACAGGAGAGTATGTGTATGTATGTGTATCTTATGTTTACTTTCATTTGGGGGAGGATTAAGAATATCACTGTTATAATTAATCATCTTAATCTATTTCCTTAAGGCAAAAGAATGCATGTGCAGTTATCTACCAGCCGGCTTCGGACTGCCCCTGGGATGGGAGACCAGAGTGGCTGCTATCGGTGTGGGAAAGAGGGACATTGGTCCAAAGAGTGCCCAGTAGACCGTACAGGGCGTGTGGCAGACTTTACTGAGCAGTACAATGAACAGTATGGAGCAGTGCGCACACCCTACACCATGGGCTACGGGGAATCCATGTATTACAGCGATGCCTATGGAGCACTCGACTACTATAAGCGTTACCGGGTTCGCTCTTATGAAGCGGTGGCGGCGGCGGCAGCAGCTTCCGCATACAACTATGCAGAGCAGACCATGTCTCATCTGCCTCAAGTCCAAAGCTCAGCTGTGACCAGTCACCTCAACTCCACTTCTGTTGATCCCTATGACAGACACCTATTGCAGAACTCTGGTGCTGCTGCCACCTCAGCTGCAATGGCTGCTGCTGCCGCCTCCTCTTCCTCCTATTATGGAAGGGACAGGAGCCCGCTGCGTCGTACTGCAGCTGTGCTCCCTGCAGTTGGAGAGGGCTACGGTTATGGGCCAGAGAGTGAGCTGGCTCAGGCTTCAGCAGCTGCACGGAATTCTCTGTATGACATGGCCCGGTATGAGCGGGAGCAGTATGTGGACCGAGCACGGTACTCAGCCTTTTAAAAACTGGAGGTGAGAGTGGGGTGCTGTGGTTAAGAGATTCCATTTTGTTCCCTTCTGAGAGACCTTTGCTTCATAGAAGACGCTCGAGCAACCTGTTTGCTGTCAGGAACATATCCAAAAAGTACAAATTCTATGTTTCCAGTATTTCTCTAGCTTAGGCCACAGGTGCATTTGGCCTTTTGAGGTTTTAGTGTGTGGCTCCTACACACTGTGAGAAGAACAAACTCAGCTTGTCAGTGTGAATATTCTTTAATCAGTCGTAAGCAGAATTGGGTTATAAACATTGTGTATATTATATCATGTAGACAATAAGTATTTTCTCATTGAGGAAAGGGACTAAGGCTCAGAGGCTTAGTACTTTGCCCTTAGTTACTTAGTTAAATGAGAGGTAAAACCAAAATTCAAACTCAGGCTTGGCTAAAACCCATGTTCTTTACCAAAGTCATTGTGATGTTAAGCTGAAGGGTACAGATTCAGAAATTAGTAATAGATATCACAGTGAGAATTATATAATCTTAGGTTTCCAGTTTGCTAGCAAAACTGTTTCTTGGACTATTAGCCTGTATCAAAGGAAGCTCTTCAAGTATCCCATCTGCAAGCCAGCTAAAGTCCTACAAATGTTGTGTTTAGTTCTAAGACAATTATTTGAACTGTGAATGTTCTGATACTGTCGCATGCAGTCCTTTCCTTATTCAGATACAGAAGGGGCATTTAAGCCTATTTCTTTTGTAGCCTATGATATCCTTCCCATTTCCTTCAGCAGTTTTTGCTTTTTAAGAGAACATGTAAAGAATTAGATAAATTGGTAATTTTCTGACGTGCATAAAATCCCATAGGTGGTAACTGAAAATTCCTTTGAAATGTGTACCAAAGGTATTGGCATGGCAAGAATAATTAGGAGTATCTAGAGACAGGTAAATCTCTTCATCAGAGTGAAAATGGCTATTCTCATAGTTTTCCTTGTACTTTGAGCATTACTTGGACACCCAGTAATGAAATTGAACTGAGTTACCAATGAGCTTCCAGGGTTCCTAACTCATCCCCCCCCCTTTGGTAAATGTGTAGAAGAAAACAAAGCTTCAGAAATTTGCTTTTTTGAAGTGAGAAGTAGGGTTGGTGGAGTGGCTCAAGTGATAGAACAACTGCTTAGTAAGTGTGAGTCCCTGAGTTCAAGCCCCAGTACCCAGCAAAAAAAAAAAAAAAAAATTACATGAAGTGAGAAGCAAATGTGGCATTAATGTTTGATAAATTACATTATATACAATTGTGTCAGTAAGACTTGGGATTTCCTGAGACCATCCTGCAACAGTGTGTACTTGTGGAGTTTGCCACTAATTTTTATAGCTAGATCTCCCATGAGGTGAGATACCTCTGAAGTAAATTGATGTCAATCCATCATATAACTTCTATTTTTTCTCAAGTATAGTTCAAATTTAAATAACAAATTAGCATATTGTGGTCTTTAAGGGTATTAGGGCATTTTAGAAGTGATTTTTAACTTCAAGCAGTGGTTGTTCAACTAACCTCTTTTTAGTGATGACTTTTAAAGAAACTTACCTTCCAGGTGTGAACCTCAAATGGACTGAATAACCCTGAGTTGGTTGCAGTCCCAGGAGCCTGATGTTAATGAGGCTGCCAGGATGAAATACTCCAGAACTGTTGGGGATCCAAATTCGGGTCTCACCCTAGCAGAACTGATCCAAGAACGTCACAACTTTTGAAGTCGATTGGCACAGATCAAGACCAAGATTTGGCCCTTTGTCTGTAATAAGTAGAGGAACTTGGTGTGAGTTAACTTTTTTTTTTCCCTCAGCCATTGGTGTCTGGAGTTCCCATCATCAATGGAAGAATTAAGAGAATCCTAGCAGTGATTTCTTCTTTTGATTTGTCAAGGGAGATTTGGTCAACTAGGGGAACTACTGGAATTATGGCTCTAAATCTGTGACATTGTGACATGGAGATGTGTTGGAAATGGATGAATGACCAACCACTCCTTGAGACTCTACCTTTTATGACTTGTCATTTCAGAAAGTTTACTTTGAAAGATTAAAATGAAATATTCATAATGTATTTGGGCTGGGCCCAGTGGTATGTGACTGTAGTCACAGCTACTCAAGAGGAGACCTTGTCCCATTTTCAGAAAAGAAAAGAATAGAGCAGTTGACTATATTTGAGATCTCAGCATCTTTTGCTTTTCCTAGATCCCAAAGTTAAAATTGTAATTCTTGATAATGTATGCCCTTTGTTGGAGCCTTCTATCACAGAGGTTATCTTGCTTTAAAAAGATGGATAAGAAGATGAGAAAGTGGAATTTAATGTTAACACAGCAGTTTTCCAGCTAGATTGCATATTGTCTTATATATAGTTATAATTAGATTCCTATATGTAGCTATTAGACTCCTGGGTAATTTTGTGGGATATAAGTTTGATCCAGTCTGACTTGGTTTTGTTTTGTTCTTTGTTTTTTCCCTCCCCTGGAATACAGGACGGGACCAGGGCCCTTGTACTCGGAGCCAAGCTGCTCTCCAGGCATTGTGTAAGCCTCTTGTGTTGTGCTCTCTTTCAGGTAGGATAATTGCGGACTGAACCCTCGGGCTGCGGTCATATATGAGAACTTGCTCCGCGCGGTCCCCTTTGCCGGGATGTTTCCATTGCTTCATGTTTCAGTAAAACAAAGGAGTTTGTGACCAACTATGTTTTCTTTCTTAATTTAATTCTTCTAAGTTGACTTTTCTTTCCTTCTGATGCTAGTCTCTGTAGCCTTTCACTCTGTTCCTCATATCCTCAGCCTCTGAACAGCCCTAGGTAAGGATTATGCTGGCATCCCCTTTTTCCATACAGTGGAAAAACCCCTCTTACCTTGCTTTCCCTAGGAGTTGAGCCTTTCTCCCTGCCTACCTGCAGCATCTCCTTTCCCTTTAAAATGACCTTGTAGTGACAAACAGCCTTTTACTCTTCTCTGTTAGCTCTGGACTCTTTAACATTGAAGCTAATCTTCTGAAATTGCTAGGACCATTGGGGGTTTTGTTGGTTTGTTTGTTTTGTTTTGTTTTGTTTTTGTCTGACCTGTGATCGTGGTACAGCATTAGCTGAAATTTAGTCTTGTTTTTCTCCACTCCTCCCACTTTTTTTTTTTTTTTTGACAAATAAACGTTTCTAACACTTAAATCTTTTTGTGTAACTGTTATTTACCAGTGCTTTCTGACTTTCCAGTTATACAAAACTCAAATGAGTGGACATCTAAAATTTGAAGATTCAGTAAGGTGAGTAACAATAGCTTTAGAAATAGGGAGCTGATAAATATGGAGCTGCTCTTTCCAGTTCAATAGCTAACAAACCTAGAGTACTAGTGATAGAAACCTCACAGGAAGTCCTGCAGCAGGAAAAGGCTGAGCCAGAACATCTCCAAGGACTTATCAGGTTGACTCAATTGGATTGCTGCACCAATATAAACAATGTACATTTTAGCTGGGCATGGTGGCATACACCACAGGAAGTAGGACTGGGTTCAAGGCCAGCCTGTACTGCTGAGTTTGAGGACTGTGTGGGCTATACAGCAAGACCCTGCTTTAAAAACAAACAAAAAACCCTTTTAGCACTCTTTCCCCAATGTTTGTCCTTTTTAATTAAAAAGAAAAAGTTTAATTTAGGGCTGGTGGAGTGGCTCAAGCAGTAAGAGCACCTGCTTAGCAAGCATGAGGCCCTGAGTTCACACTCCAGTGCTGCCAAACAAAACAAAAGGTTTTTAATTTAGAGGCTGGGGGTATAACTCAGCGGTAGAGCACAAAGCCCTAAATTTATTCTCCCAGCATCACCTCCCCCCAAAATGTGTGTATGCATTTAAATTAACTTACGAACTATTGAAAGAGGTTTCTCTTTCCAAAGGTGTTACTATTTCTGCTAGGATTAGGGTTTAATTGAATTGAGTAAGATGGTTTTGATAAAAGAAGCAAAGTTGCTGGAGGTGTGGCTTAAGTGGTAAAGTGCCTAGCAAGCAAGCATGAGGCCCTAAGTTCAACACCCAGTACTACCGAAAAAAAGGAACATGTCAACTGGGTGTGGTGGCATATGCCTGTAATCTCAGCACTCAAGAGGCTAAGAGAGGAGGATGGTGAGTTCCAAGCCAACCTGGGCTAAGAGTGAGTTTGAGGCCAGCACGAGCCAATACAGCCAGACCTTGCCTCAAAAAAAACTGGGTGCTGGTGGCTTACATCTATAATCCTAGCTACTCAGGAGTTCAGAGATCAGGATGATCAATGTTCTAAGCCAGAGTAGGCAAATAGTTTGGGAGACCCTATCTTGAAAATACCCATCACAAAAAAAGGAATGGAAGTGCGGCTCAAGTGATTGATAGAGCACCTGTCTACTAAGCATGAGGCAGAGTTCAAACCCCAGTAGTACTGCCAAAAAAAGAAAAACAGGAAAGTGTTTCTTTGAGCAGAAAAGCAAACGGTGTTTTTTTTCCTTCGTATTATTAAATGTATGACCAAATGTAGGATATTGATTAGCAGTGACAACATTCTGCAATAAAAAGTATCATAGAAGTTTTTAAAGTGGGCATTTTATTTATAATTTTAATTTCCATAAACAAGTTTAATGATGGACTCTATTTAAGCTTTATTGTACCCTTCATGGAAATGGTGACATATAAGCACATCTTCATTATATTTGTGATCAGTACTGTGGAGTGACTAGTACTGTGAAAACAAACATAGAGACTGAAGAGTGGGGCAGCTACTCAAACGTAGAAGCAGCAGCACGTGAAGACCCATGACTGGGAAGTGGATGATACCCATTAGACAACAGAAAGGCAGCTCTGGCAGGAGAAAAGCTAGTTAATGATAAGCCTTGTAACAGATTATATGAAGGGATTTCATTTTTAACTAAAAATGGGAAGATACAGGTTTGAAGCTCAGGAATAATAGGCCCAGGTTTTTTTTTCTTTAAAAAGTTCACTCCGGTGCTCGCTTCAGCAGCACATACACTAAAATTGGAATGATACAGAGAAGATTAGCATGGCCCCTGCGCAAGGATGATACGCAAATTTGTGAAGCGTTCCATATTTAAAAAAGAAAAGTTAGCCAGTCTCAGAAGGCCAAAAATTGTATGTTCTTCCACATATGTGTATTATAGGCCTAAAACAATTGAAGTATTTTGGACATGGGTCACACATGTCCAACAAATACAAGAGGAATAAGGAAAGGGAAGGAAACCTAAAACTTGAAAGTGGTTGATATGCCCATTGTAGAGGAGCAAATAAAGTCATCTTAAACTGGCAGAGTCCACTATGGGAAGGTGACAGGAAAGTAGCGAAGAGGTCTGGTAGAGATGAACCAGTTCCGGTTGTAATACACATGTGCATAGAAGCAATGCTAGGAATCTCTCTGTACAGCTATCTTTATCTTTAACTACCAAAAACGCTATGTTGTTCTTATTATCTCTCATGTTTTCTCTTCAACAAAATTGGTTAGGAGGGCAAAACAGGTTCTGCATGGAAGCGAGGAGGGCAGGGAGGAAGGGGAGGGGCACGGGGGCAGGGGAGAGAGATGGACCAAACAATGTGTGCACATATGAATAAATGTATAAACAATTTTTTAAAAAGAAAAAGAAAAGTGGCTGCAATAAGCATGTATTTTTCCTTTCTAAGTGAGTTTGCTGTCCTAGGCAGCGGAGACTTGTTTCTTCTATCTGGAATTCATTCCCTTGCCCTGGTTATCGTGACCCACTCTTTCACTTCTTTGAGGTCTTTACTGAACCATCATCCTTTGTGAGAAAACTTCTCACCCAACTAAAAGTTTCTTCTTCCTCACACTCCATCTCCATATTGACTTTTTCTTTACTCATGCTATCATTATTTACCAATTTTTTTTTTTTTTTGGATTTCTGTTCCCCGCCAAAATGAACACTCTGAGAGAGGGGATTTTGGTCTCCCTCACCGTGATACCCTTAGATTCTAGAATATAACCTGATATGTGGTAGGTACATTTGGTGCTGCATTGTATCCTGGATTCCTTACCTGTGGATTCATTAAAACTATTTAGGTTAAAAAAAAAAGTTCACTCTGAAGAGAAACAAAAGGAAATAACATTACAAATGTGAGGTTTGTCTGATATGTTACAGAGGTCTCTTCCCTAGTCATGAAATCAGTAGGATTGATTTTTATTTGCACTACTGGCATTTGAATTTAGGGCTTTGCGCTTGGCTTGGAAGGCGGTCTACCACTTGGGCCACACCCCCAACCATACTGGTGAAGAAGTGATTCAAAGGGATATCTCAGTAGGGTTTAAATTCCTGAGGTTGATAAACTGTAAGTAGATAGGTTGTCTCTCCCACCCTAACATTTGCTGAGCACCTTGGGCCAGGCCTTGCCTAAAGGATTTGAAGAAAACCCCACTGAATACTAAGGGCACAGGAGATGAGAGGGTCCTGCAAAGACTTTTTTTGACCATAGTGGGGCTAGGCTTGCTAGGCAGGTGTTTCACCACTTAAGCCATACCTCCAGCCCTTTTTTGCTTTGCTTAGTTTTGAAATAGGATCTCACATTTATACCTGAACCAGCTAGACCATTATGTTGCCTGCATAGCTGGAATGACAGGTGAGCACCACCATGCCCGGCTCTTACTATTTGAGATAGGGTCTAGCCTGGGCTAGCCTTAAACTCCACGCTGGTGTGATCCTCAGGATCTCCACCTCCCAAGTAGCTGGGATTACAGGTATAAGTCATGGTGCTGGCTCCCTTTGGAGATCTTAAGAGACTAGTGAGAAGCTAGGCTCAAGCCTGTAATTCTAGCTACTTCAGTGGCAGAGATCAAGAGGATCTTAGTTCAAGGTCAGCCCAGGCAAAAAGTTTGTGAGACTGCATCTCAACCAGTGGCTGGGCATGGTGGCATACAACTGTCATCCTAGCTATGGGGAAGCACAAATAGGATCTTGGTCCGGGATGGTCCAGGCATAAAGCAAGACCCTGTATCAAAAATAACCAACACAAAAAGGGCTGGTAGAGTGGCTCAAGTGGTAGAGCACCTGCCTAGTAAGTGTGAGGTCCTGAGTTCAACCCCCAGTAAGGGGGCACAGGGAAAAGACTACCGAGATAGGATAGGTAATTAGGAACATAAGATCTGAAATCATAGTGTTCTGTGGTTACAGTTGCACCACTACCACCTAGTAACAGAGAAAGATTAAGACATACAAAGACACTAACAAATGGTATAAAATGGCAATTGCTATGAGAAATGTAAAACCATTGTTGGAGTTCAGAAGATGGGTAATTACTTATGTAATCCTACTAAAATAGTTTTTGTAAAGCCTTGAGACTGAAACTTGAAAATATTTCTCTCTCAAAATAGAACTGTACCCATCAGTAGCCTAGAGAGATTGTGAATGTTTATGAGGCATGATGAAGATGAGGGATGCTCCTGGCCCAGCTGGGGGAAAAGGGGCAGGCTTATAGGAACTCACCCAAGCAAGGCCTAGCCATAGCAGCAGCATTTTGTGAGGCACTAGAAGTACAAGGGAAAATAAACCCCAGCCTAGTTTAAATATCAATGCTTGGGAGAAAAGCAGCCAGATTTCCCTAGGTAGAGTGAGAATTCCCTGGGTGGCAGAGGAAACATGGAACTACTAAAGCCTCAGCTCTGCTTGGCAGAAGCCTTGCTCACCTTTGAGGCCTGCCTGAGGAGCTTCTGGCCTACCCCTTTCCCCTGATTGCCAGTCACATAGTGCAGCTAGAAGTGAGGCACAGAAAAACAGTAGGTCCTCTGGACTCTTAATGTCCTTAGGAGCTTGTCCTAAGGACAGAAAAAGGTTGGCTGCCTGCAAGAACGCCCAGAAAAGGGAAGCAATTTACCTAAGATTGGCTTTATGGCTTGTCAGGATTTGTCTCAAATGTGATCCTCAGAAAGCCTCCTGTCCTTGGAGATTTGGAAGAAGGAGAGGAGAAATGTAACATTCCCAGAAAAGCTGTCAGTTGTCAAAAGAATCAATGTGAAGGCTTTCTTGAGAACAGGGTAGAGCTCTACTGCCAAGAACTGACGTATAGGAAATGGCAGAATCAGCTCCAGGAATCCACAGGGGAAGATAAAGTCTAAGGGTAGTTTTGCAGGGCCAAATA